ATATTTTTCTCATTATTTTTTCTCATATGTGACTAATGAACGCTGGATGTCTCGCTTTATTACGTGTACAAAATGCACAAAGTGAACTTAAAAATTTCTCATGTATTTTTTAGAACAAAACAGTTACTTTCCTAAAAGTAAAAATAATATAAAATTTAATAATAAATTTAATTATATTTGGTAATTAATATATACACATATATATATATATAATTATTATATATTAAGATATTAAGTAATATATTAAGCTTTTATTATATATATATATATAATAAAATCTTAATATAGCTTAATATATGCTGTTAATTCAATAGCATTTTTTTCTCAATGTATAAATTAACATTTTATATATCTACAAATTAATAATTATACATCTCTAAACAATATAAATAAAACAAATTTTTATTTTAAACAAATAATATAAAAAAATATGTTTGTAAATTTTGTAAAAACATGTCTTTGTAAAAGCGAGTAAGAAAATATGTATTTTATTAAGTAGAAGAATAGATATTCTGTTTTTTTTAAACTTTAATTTTTCTAAACTTTGTCTTTCAATGCTTAAAGCAAACTATTGTTCGAGTAATCACCAACTGTTTTAATGTTAATATACAAGATACATTACAGTTCAAAATGTTTCAAGGACACGAATCCTCATCTTTAAGGTCAAGTTTTGGACTGAGGACCTATCCATCTGTTCAACAACTCGGTCAGACCGTTATATGTTTACCATCTGAAAACCTCAATGGACCAGCATATTCGTACAGCATCTTTTTTGATTTCTTATTTCTTCTGATCGTAAATACGAATTAGCGAATTAGCGAAGAGATAATGAGAATTCATGCTGGCAATTCCCGTGCTGCTCGCCACTTCGCACGAATGCGACGTGTATCTATATCTTACGTGGCGATTAGCCAAATTTAAATACTTGTATAAAATAACTCACTCCCGAGCAAATTCACGATAATCGCTTTTTGCGGGATGTTGCAGGATAGCCACGTTAAAGCAAAATGTATATCGCGAAAAAGTGGATGCGTGGCGTATGCACGTTAAGTGTCGCTGGTCAGAGCCGAACGGACGGAGTGTACTTACGAGCAAAGAGTAGAGAATGAAAGGCAGGAAGAAGATGATGCGGCCAAAGCCCATTGAGGTCTTCCAGCACGCACGCATAACGGTCTGACCGAGTTACCGAGAATATTCAAAGAAGCAACCGGCATATACTTCTGATTGAACTTTTTCCTTAATAATTGCGTTAGATTCTCGAAAAATCGGCGTCATTCTTAAAAGAAACGTATTATCGTCGAAAGAGGAAATTTCGATCACGGATAATGCCGTAATTGCCACTTATTTTTCTAGTCTGACAGTCACTCTTTTCAGCAATGGAGCAAAATATATATTTTTATTTTTATTTTATTTATTTTCATTTTGTTTTTATTTTTAAAATATATATTTATCGTATCACGTGTTTTTTAACGTATTATATTGTAAATTATATTGAATTACTACACAGGTAGACTTTATATAATCGAAACATTTATCGCTTGAGAGATTTATCGATTTCTCTCTGTTTTGACTTCGACATCATCTACTATCGCGAATCGTACGTTTTCTCTTACCGAAAGTCCCGATTCGCGCGGCAAGTCGCCGGACTCGTTCGAAGACCCCGTTCGAGAGCATTCAAATCGTTGTTCCGTAACAAACGATTATTGTTACGTCAAGGATATGCGACCTTGACCTTAGCCATTTGTTTTGCCAAGACGAATCTTCAATACCGAGAAGTATCTAGATTCTC